AGTAGTAGTAGTAGTTAGTAGGAGGATTTCATGTTCAGACAAAGGCCTGCTGTGCAGGGAATCCCTGCGCATTAAGCCTCTAGTCCTCGGCTTGGTAGTCTTCCGTGATGTTCCCACTGAGGCTACTAAGGTTTCTTGTTCTACGAGTAGCTGATTGCTGCACGGTAACAAGCTTGAGAAGAAGGAGCCCTGCAGTGGTACCAAGGCATTGTACATAAGGAGCGCATCTCCATCAAGGTAGGTCAAGGTAAACCCTAAAACCATGGCCCATAATAGCCCGACACCTCAAACCCTATACCCCAAGACCCCCTAAACCCTAAACCCAAAAGCCCCTAACCCCTGAACCCTAACCCTAAACCCTAAACCCTAAACCCTAAACCCTAAACCCCTAAACCCTAAACCCCGAGCCCACAGAGCCTCCGCCAAATGCGACGCGAACTCCTGGCGCCGGGGGGCGTTCGGCACAGAAGCCCTCAACGGCTCAACCCTCAAGATGATGGTGCTGAAATTTGGGGGCTAAGGATTTTGGGGGGTGTGAATCCTAGGGTTTTGGGTTTTTTGTTTGAGAGTTTTGTGTTCAGGACTGTAAGGCTTTTAAGCCACGTAGGGTTCAGGGTACGATGATGCTTGGACTAGTCCCTTGTGGCAGCTTTTACTTGGCTGGGGCTTACCTAGCCCTACACGTGAATCCGGAAACATTGAACGTGAATGGCACACGCCTGTACGTACTTAGACCCAAGGAACGAAAACCTGAAACCAAAACCAACTGCCTCGAGATGTTGTTTCTTCTTGGGAGGCGCGATGGCGGCATGGCTGCGCGGTAAGTAAGTAGTTACTCGTAGGAACATTTTAGCGAAAGCAGTCATTGTTATGGTCGCCGTCGTAGTAGTCGTAGTTGTAGTTGTAGTTGTAGTTCTAGCCGTAGCAGTAGCAGTAGCTGCAGCAGTAGTAATAGTAGTAGTAGTAGTAGTAGTAGTAGTAGCAGCAGTAGTAGAATCGTAGAAGTAGTAGTAGTAGTAGTCGTCGTCGTCGTGGTGCTGGTGGTGGTAGTAGCAGTAGTAGTAGGAGTAGCCCCAACGGGAACCCTGAACCCCTTGCGCCTGCAAGGAGGTTGCCCCAGCGCTGGGACACGACTGCGCAGAGCTGTGCGTCCTGGGCGAAGTGTTGCTATTTAGGGTTGAGGGTTTAGGATCTAACTACCCTAAACACACAGATCCCCAAACCCCTAAAAAGAGACCTAAATCCTACACCCTAAACCCATCTCAACCTTACGCCCTGGAGCTTATGCAAGTGGGAGGAGCGTGAGGCTGAGGCTTCTGGCTCTGGGTTTAGGCTTTGCCTGCAGCTCCTCCGACGGTAGGGTTTAGGGTTTAGGGCATTTCAAACGAACTGAGGGGCAATGATCAAGTTCAGGTACATTCAGACTCCGGCAAGTCAAGTCGGGAATTAAGCCCTTGCCGTAGATCCGGAACTCTACACCCTGAAACCTTGAACCCCAAACTTCTAAACCCTAAACCCTATAAACCCTTACCCCTAAACCATAAAGCCTTGAACCCGGCAACCCCAGAGTTGCCCTCTGCATATATGTGGAGTCGAGCGTCGTGAGCACCACGTGCAGCTTGAGTAGTGGACAGCTGACCGACACCTTCGTCAGGGTGCAAGGTACCACACTTTAACTTTATTATTAGGGTTTGGGATTTTAGGGTTCCTAAACCTTGAAACTTATAAGCTTCTGAACCCTAAACTCAGGGTTCACATTGCGGCGTAGGGCCGATCCAATCTGTTGTTATGCACTGTTATCAACATCCTGACTGTGGTTTGCATCCTGGTTTCTGGGCTGTTGACTGTCCTCGGATATTTGGGTACCCTAAACCCTGAACCCTGAACCCTAAATCCTAAACCCTAAACCCTGAACCCTAAACCCTGAACCCTAAAACATAGACCCTAAATCCCTAAACCCCAGTATTGAGCTCCGGGCTCAGAGCATGAGGTTGACAGGTGTAGCGTGTATCGATACTTGGACCTGCCCTCAGGTCCTTAAGAGTGCATTAAAGTATATTTGCTACTATGGCATATTATAATAACACTATAATCATAATACATAACGGTGGGTGCACGAAAGTATATTTGTTACTATGGCATGTTATGATAATAACACGATAATCATAATTCGTAACGGTTGAGGGCTTAGGATTTAGGGTAAACCTTACGCTGTTTTAGTGCATCTTATACCTGCACGGGGGGCAGCGGCAAGGTAGCGGGGTCGGACCAATCTCGATCAAGACCTGCCCAAAGAGCCCAATACCCCTAATTGGGAATATACCTTAAATCATAGGGTTTAGGGTTTAGGGCCAAGTTCAGGGTTTAGGGAATATACCTTAAATTATAGGGGCCTTAACATTATAGTTTAAGGTATATTCCTTAATTCAGGGGTATTGGGCTCTCTGGGTGCTGCTGAGTGACAGTCGCCAGGCGCGCAGCGCGGACGCTGAAGCTACGAAGAGCTCCTTCTTCTGTCTGGTGCTTACCCATAGGCCCTAAAGTCCCTAAAGTGGTTCCTGTTTGGGGTTCATATATAGGATCCTATAAGGTAACCCCAAAAAGGAACAATGAACCACAAAACCTAAAAGCCCTGCGGTACGTGATTTCTGAATGCCCGAACTGCATTCGGGTTTAGGGCTTAGGCCCTAAACCCTAAAGCCCTAATTATGACTAACCCCTATGAACACTAAACCCTCCACCCTAAGCCTTATTTGTAACTAACCCCTCAACACCCTAAACCCTAAACCCTAAACCCTAAGCCCTAACGATACCTGACCCCTATAAACCCCGAACCCTGGACCCCAAGATTTATATGGCAGCCGTCTCCGTAGTCACTACGGTTTAGGTTTAGGCTTTAGGGTTTAGGGTTTAGGGTAAGGGCTTCCATTTGGGCCGAAAGAATAGAAGCCGCAAACTCTAGAATCGCTATAGCCTGTAGGCCCTAAATCTTACAGCCCTGAACCCTAAACCCTAAACCCTGAACTCTAAGCCGTACACCCAGAACCCTATAGACTCTGAAACCCTAATTCGCATAGACCCCCGACCCGGAAGAGCCTAAAGGCAAAACAAACTAAACCCTAAACCCTAAACTCCTGCGCTGAAGAAGCGATCTTCCCCAAGGCCGTCCAAGGTCAGTGGCTCCTGCACTAATGTCACAGGGGCAGGGTTTAGGGTTTAGGGTTTAGGGTTCAGGGTTTAGGATTCAGGCTTTAGGGTTTAGGGTTCAGGGTTTTGTGCGGGATGTAGCGTGGGGGGAGGGATTTACACTATAAAGGCTGTATGAGGTTACTACAAGCGAGTGGACTTTTTGGGTGCAGGAGTCGGTGCACTGAGGTGCACAACAGTCGTAAACCCCAAGTTCTTAACGTCATGAGGTTCCTAAGGAATTGGCAACCACGAAAATGCTCCACAGCCCCATAAAAACCCTCCAAAGCCCCCCGAAAATCCTTTACACCCCCTAAACCCAACCTCCGAGACACCCCACCCTCTACATCGCAAACCCAAAACCACTGAACCCTAAACCACAAAACCCTAAACCCTTAGCCACAAAGCCCCTAAACCCTTAAGGAAATCCTAACAAAGGAACCTTAAAAGAACCCTTGAGGAACACTTAAAGGAATCCTTAAAGGAGCCCTTCCGGGAACCCTTCACGCCTTCTAACCCTCGAGGTGGGAACCCTACAAACCCCCTTTAACCCGAAACCCTTAACACTTAAGGGTTCAGGGAAACCTCGAAACCCGTCAAACCCTAAACTTTCAGGTTCAGGGTTTAGGGTCTATAAACCCTAAAGTCTAAACTTTAAGGTTTACGTTTAGGGTCTAACCCCCTGAACTCCAAACCCTAAACCCTAAACTTTAAGGTTAACGTTTAGGGTTTAAACCTCCAAGCCCTACACCCGAAGCCCAGAGCCCTTAACGGGCATCTCATGGCCCCGAACTCCCCGGCGCCCGGCCTGCCCAATGCGGACCTCCGCATCTGCCGAGGAGACCACAGCCTTGACGATCCTGCTGGGAATCCAAAAGCCTACCGATTTAGGGGTTGTACGATTCCTAAACACTCTCTTTCATATATATATATATATATAATATTTTTTTTTTAAGTTATACATTTAAACCCTAAGTGATTTCGTGAGATTTGGGTCTTTTGGCCAAAAATCTCACTAAATCCTCAGGGTTTCAGGCTCCAAACCATGAGGATTTAGTGAGATTTGGGTCATTTTGCCCAATTCGGCGCAAATCTCATTAAATTGTCAAGGTTTCAGGCTCAAAACCTTGAGGATTTAGACCTCACGTCATTTTGCCCATCAAACCCTGATTTGGGTAATTTTGCCCAATTTGGTACAAATCTCATTAAGTCCTCAGGGTTTCAGGATCAAAACCCTGAGGATTCAGGCTAGTTCTATGTCGATTTTCTCGTAGCACTCGCGATTGATCAGCTGCTGCATGTTCTCGGACTTGAAGTTTGTTGCAGCGGCATCCAATGCAGCTGCTATGAGTTAGATGCCTGCTCCAATGTGCCACCGGTCACTGGCGGGAGCACAAAGGTGACTGTGGTACTTCGCAGCTTTGTTGCCGGTGTTCACCGCCTTCCACAAGTCAGGAAGGGATAGCGAGCCAATAGCAGACTCGCCGTAAGGCTCGAGCAGCTGGCTGGCGGTAGAATCCCAAGGCTACAACTTCACCCGACGAGTGTCGCTCTTGTCCGCCTCATTCATCGAGGAAGGCATCGAAGCACAAAACAATCCGTCCGTCATTATGTCAAACAAGAGGCAGCCAGGACTCGAGCAAGCTTATCAAGATGGCTTCGGCATGAGAAGCGTGGGCAAGTTGCAAAGCGTGGCCAAACACACAAGCATCTGCCTGGCAGCACGTGTTGTCACAATTAAAAACCTTGTGTTTTTCACGCTTCGGAATAGAGAAGAAGCTGCGGAGTCGTCTGCAAGTAAAATCTGATAGCTAGCAAAAATCCTTGTGGACGAGTTCGAGACACTAGCGAATGTGTCAACATCTCGTCCATGTCCAAGGTGAGAGCACGTGCTTTCAACAATCTGAACACTGTAACCTGACACTTACCTGAAACTGACGTAGCAAAACGAGGGGACGGAATGACTAGGCGAACAGGCCAGTGGCATCAGAGCCCGGCTTTGTGCTGGATGAAGCTTCCGTTGGCGGCTACTGCGAACAATGTGGCCAACCCTACTGTCATTCAAAAATCAATGTAACATTGGACGAACCAGCGACTGCGAGCTTCAATCAGCGGACTTACGCCGTCGAAGGAAGTCGTCAAAAAGAACATGCAGATTCTTGACCAGCGACTGCCATCTTTCTCGAAGGACCTCTGGGCTTGCACTTCGGCCGAGCGGGATCGTGGCGTCGGCGAGCTCGCGCCACCCGCTTCTGAAAATAATTTTCGGCCTTCTTCCCCAAGGCATCTCGGATGTAGACAAAGGCCGTCTCCACTACATCCGCTTCCAACTTGTTCACCAAGTGAGTCAGACGTCCCGGGAATGACTTGTAAAGAGTCTGCAGCAGCTGCGGGTCGCAGAAATCGCAGAAACCGCTAGGCGCTGCCCGTGCCGGCATGGAGAAGCCGCCAAAGACGCACAGACGGCCGTCTCGGCCCCGGCACCTTCCGTTGTTCTTCTTCCTCTCGACCTTGATGCGAACAGGTTTGGCGACGGGATTCATGTCGTCTTCGGGTTCGGTCAAGTCCATGATCTTGGTCGAGGGCTTCAGCGGCTGCGAGAAAGGCATGCTGGCTGCAAAGGAGTCTGAGAAAGCGGCAGAAGAAACTGAAGAAAATGGCTGTATATCGGCAGATAAAAGTTCTGCGTGGCACTGTCGGCGGCACGTGCACGTGGAGCTGCGGGGCATGTGATCTTAAAATACATACTGAGATGCATCGCGGACAGTTGCGTGAAGTCTGACAGCCGTCGAGCCTCCCCGATGCGAGCAATCTCCATTAACTTGATCCTTCTACCTGACGAAACACGACTGCGGTTGTCCAACTTCTCTGACAAACAGCAACAACTGCCACAGACACATTACTCACGACAGCCCCGAGTCCGTGCTTGCTTGACAAAACGAAACAGATCCCAAGCCTTGTCGTCAGACGAACGAACGCTCACGTGTCCAGTCGCCAGAAAACACACGAATTGCCTTCCGTCCAAGACCAACAACCCTGCCTCGTCTCGGAAGTCGAGCTCGACCCATGGGAGAGCATCACACAAAGCTTGCGAGTTAGTTACAACTTGTAGTCGCTCATGACTAGTACTTGTCGCTACTGTACTATTCATTATTTTTCGAGTACTAGTAGTATTACTACTAGGCGTACTCCAAAACACATGCCAACTTGTGTAGGTGCGGCCAAGTGGCGAAAAAGTGAGATGAATTTTCGTGTTTCGTCCAAAAC